AAGAATAGTTGGGTTTCGAGTTATCTTTTCTTTCATAATTGTTGAGCTTACTTCCATTTCGAGTAAAAGTATTGAGTGAAGATATTTGAGGGTCTCTTCCCTGAAATACATATTTCATAATTATTCAGCTTCTTCTGGTGCCTTTTTCTATGAAATCCTTCGGTGTGAGAATCTGACCCAAATCATGTCTGAGTCGGGAGTTAATATCTAAAAACTTCAATAATTTTCCCCTCTTCTTAGCATATGCCTCCTCAAACTTTTGCCAATTAGCTTGATATAATATAACATTACTTTATAGTAATTATGATTTCGCATTACATTGCAACTATGCTAAGAAAAGTAGGGTTTCGAGGAAGCTATTGTTTTATCATTGTTGAAATTACTTCCATTTCGAGTGAAAGTGTTGCTTGAAGAGATTTAAAGATCCGTTCCAGCAGAAGACGCCGGCGGATACTTCTTGACCAGCGTTCGATTGGCGTTACTGGAACAATCATGCTGACACTGTTTCCGAGGCAATCTCCCTCGATTTAGGTAAAAAGTTGCTTCGCTTTTGTCCGTCATGTGACGAACATCATCGTAACAACCAAATTCACGCTGACGAGTCAAGAAAACCCCCCTGGCATATCCCTAAAAAGTGGTATATATACCCTATATCTGACCTCTTTGATGAGGTATTAAGTGATATGGTTAATTACGGTCATATGTCAACCTCGAAGCTCTTACGATTGATTGTTAATAATAAGGGAATTGTGATGCATATGATTTCAGGTTTCTTATGTCGACAGCTGAATATTGGAAATATTCAATGGAGAATTCATATCAAGACAAAAGATCCCCCTTTCTTGACTCGTTAGCTTGAATTTTGTTGTGACGATGGTACCTCGCTCTGATGATGTCCGTCATATGACGCACGAAATTTTCGCATCTTTTCACCGGAATCGAATGAGATCCCCTCGGAAACAGCGTCAGCATGACTGTTCCAGCAAAGCTGATCGACAGCTGGTCAAGAGGCATCCGTTGCTGGTCGTCTTCTGCTAGAACCGACCTTCGAAACTCTTCACGCAACACTCCCACTCGAAATGGAAATAAGTTTGACAATTATGAAACAAGAGATTGCTCGAAACCCAACTTTTCTTAGAAAGAGGATTGACTGCTTCGAAACTGTGCCGGTAGATTTATGCGAAAAAGTCCTCGGCACAAGGATTCATCAGGACCGTGGCGCAATACGCCGTGGACTAATGTGCACAAATCTACACTCACAGTTCCACGTCTTCCGGTGCGGCCGACATACGAATTGCTTCCACTCGCTTCTTTAAAAGAGATGAAAGATACCTTTTCTGTAAGCGAGTTATTCACTCTATTTCGCCTATTCTGTGGAAAAATTTGTAGTTGCATTTACTAAAAATTAAATGACTTTGTCCCAGGCTTTCATTCAATTTCACACATAGCCTTGCATCAAAAAAGACATTCGTTTCCAGAAAATACAGTTTCGACCTCGCCTGGTTCTCATCGTCAACCCTAACAGGTTTCGAATCCGGACACTACAGCGCTTAGTTTCGACATGCTACCGTTTCACAGGTGCCGCTTGGTTACTGGGCGGACGAACATTTCAGGGCATACTTGGTCTCTCTAATATCACATTTTGAGGCAGATTTGCATTTGTTTTCATATTCAGTTACACTACTCCTCATGAGACACTATTATTGGTGACGAAATTGGCATTACATGCGTCCTGCATCTTCATGTTCGGAGAAGCAAAATCATCTGATAGAAAAAAATTGCCTCGCCACTATACCATCTGACATCGAATCACTGTATGCCTTGATAATCGGTTTGATGAACTATGAACTTGTTTGACCCTGTTTGCGAAGCTTGGTAGAATTTTCAAGGTGGCCTGGAGGAACGCAGCTTGTTCAGAGTCCATAGTATGTATGATACTTTCTAGAATCGGAGAATGGAGTTGGTACATTATCAAACGTTTCGCCGGAATTCTCGGTGAGTCTTGCTATTCTTAGCATCACATTGTAGCTGGTCAAATAAACAAGTGAAGACGATCCTTTCACCAAATGTCTGTTGTTTTTCTGTCCTGGTGCATCCACACTTCCTGTATCCTCAAGTCACGCCGTTTATTATCACACTTTCTTAAATGCTCATTTAAAACTACTTTAAATGTTGAGCTTACTTCCATTTCGAGTGGGAGTGTTGTGTGAAGAGATTCGAAGGTCGCTTCCACCAGAAGACGACCAGCAACGGATTCCTCTTGACCAGCTGTCGATTGGCTTTAGTAGAATATTCATGGTGAAGCTGTTTCCGAAGTAACCTCCTTCGATTCAGGTGAAAAGATGCTACGCTTTTGTCCGATGAACATCATCAGCGCAAGGTGTCATCGTCACAACAAAATTCAAGCAAACGAGTCAAGAAAACTCCGTCGTCATTTGGTGGAACCGACCTTCGAATCTCTTCATCAAACACTTTCAGTCGAAATGGAAGTAAGCTCAACAATTATGAAAAAAGAGATTCCTCGAAACCCGAATTTTCTTCATATACTTTAGATGTGCTCTTTTGTGTGGATTTAGTCAGACCTATTCACACTCTTTTTATATACGAAGAAAAGTTGGGTTTCGAGGAATCTCTTGTTTCATAATTGTTGGGATTACTTCCA